TATACATTATTGAAAATTGAAAACAGATGATTGACTCTTCAAAACCAAGCAGTTAATTTTACATTTAAAAGAACCAGTAACCCCTTCTCTCACTGCTTCTGCAATAATTATAACGATCAAACAATGATTCTACAGTTTTCATAGGTTTGAAAGACAATGGTTCACCATTAATGGTATAGCTGAAAGTGAGATTTTAAATTATTTTCCCAATATGATATAAAATATTAGTATACAGTATAATTGAAAACAGAAGATTGACTCTTCAAAACTAAGCAGTTAATCTAACATTAAATGAACCAGTAACCCCTTCTCTCACTGCTTCTGCAATAATTATAACGATCAAACAATGATTCTACAGTTTTCATAGGTTTGAAAGACAATGGTTCACCATTAATGGTATAGCTGAAAGTGAGATTTTAAATTATTTTCCCAATATGATATAAAATATTAGTATACGTATAACTGAAAACAGATAATAGACTCTTGAAAACCAAGCAATTAAACTTAAATTAAAATGAACCAGTAACCCCTTCTCTCACTGCTACTGCAATAATTATAACAGTCAAACAATGATTCTACAGTTTTCATAGGTTTGAAAGACAATGGTTCACCTTAAATGGTATAGGTGAAAGAGAGATTTTACACTATTTCCCCAATATGATATAAGATTTAATACTGTATACTTGAAAACAGATGTCTGACTCTTCAAAACCAAACAATTAATTTTACATTTAAATGAACCAATAACCCTTTCACAAACTACTTCTGCAGAAAATGTCAAGAAATAGTCATTAAAATATCCAAAGTGTGAGGTGAATCTGATTATTAATTAACCAATGTATCCCCATCAAAACACCTCAAACAATCTTTCTATGAACAAGATGGGTCATAACCACGGAACTATACAAATATTGTCATTTATTGAAAGACTGAAAATAAAAACACAAGGAATCACAACATCCTGATTTGGCAGGAGGTTACTGGAGTGAGGTTTTAATGGAAAACCAATTTCCTTCAATGGACTTCCTCAGTGATTAACACGAGGGAATTCCAGACGGCTGTACAGAGTGACCCCGCAGCAAAAGTGTTAAATGATCTCTCTCACTCTATCTTACAGTCGTTTTAGTTCGTTTGAGAATCGCTTCCAGGTTTCATTTGTGCACAGGTGTGTATGGATAGAAACTTAACTCATCTCTCATTAATTCTCTCTTTTTATATCTCTCATCACTCTGTCTGTCTGTCTGTTTCTCTCTTTCTGTTTCATACCTCTCTCTTTCTTTCTTTCTTTCTATCTTTCTCTCTTTTTTTCTTTCTTTCTATCTTTCTATCTATCTTTCTTTCTTTCTTTCTCTCTCTCTCTCTCTCTCCCTCTATTACTGTCATGTGATCAATTGTTTTCGGGTTTCATTTTTGCATAGGTGTGTATATACAAATTTCACCCCTCATTCCTTCGCTCTCTGTTTGTCTGTCTGTCTCTCTCCCATTCTATCTCTCTCTCCTGGTCTATGCTGTATCTATCCCTGTTTAAACAAATCTCTTTAGCTCTATCTTTCTCTCTTAATCTCTTTAATTTTCTTTGAATTTACAAGATTTTACAACTCAGCTATCTTTCTTTAAGATTGTAGATGATTGTGTACTCAAGACTTCGATCACATTGTATTTTCAGAGACTGCTCTTTAAAACAAAATAAAATCTCTTTCGTTTTTGTATTACAATAGTATTTCTTACAATAGAGAACTAGTCTTGTTTTCTACTTTTAGCCAATGAAACTTTTCTTTAGGTATACCAATAAAGATTTTGAATTGCAAGGCAGTAGGATAGAGTCTAAATAACCAACAATATAAGTAATTAGCAAAATTATTGATTAACTGTAAATATGAAACTTTTCTAAATGGCATGTGTATATTTACAGACTATTACAATCTAAGACTGGATTCATTAAGCACATATCATTACAGGTTTAGAGCAAGAGTAAAACAAACTACATGTAAAAGTATAACAAATACAATCATTTGAAATTGAAATATCAAATGACTGTCAATAATCACATAGATAGCCCCAAAGAAGTACAGTAAACTGATTTTCTTTATCTATGTATCATCTAATTCAAATGCATTTTTATTCATAATAAAGTTTTATTTGATCTAATTTTAAAAAATAGAACGAAAATGAACATGAACCTGAAATATATAAATATCAGCTGTAAAGATTTAAATCTACTTCAGATGTGAATACATTATCAGCAAAACAGAAGATTATTTTAAATTTAAACAAAAAAAATACTTTTTAAATAAATATATTTGGCCCTGCAAAAACATGATTCTACAAAACTCAAACAAAACTTATAATGTAACATACACTATATCACTTCACTACTAGTATGAAAGATAAAATGAAAAGTGCATCACATCAGATACAAAACACAAAATGTATTTTATATAGAATAACTATAATAATTAACAAGGAAAGCAGATTAAGCTTCCACACATTAACAATGAAACCAATTACTTGACAGGTAATAATTATCCAACTTACCACTTGAAGTCCACTTGTGTTTATGGCTCGTAATTCTAACTAGGTATACAGTCTGTTTACACGTTCTCTTCCATCTTGTAATGAGCCTGAAGAAACGTCAATATCAAAAGAAGAACTGGTAATGGGATGAAGAAATAAAAACTGTCCTCTTCCGAGCACAGTCCGATGTATGAATGAACTCTGGAAAGATTTGGTGGGGTATTTGGAGGGTTGTAGGATAGCTGTGGCAGAATTCAGAAGTACATTATTATGCAGTGTATTGCACGAAATGGGTTAGACCATCCCACTCGGAGGGGTGCACTTGTTATGGAGGGACCAGGTGATGATACTAATTCCTTTGTTTGATTAAAAACCACAAAATCTTATACCTCTTTTTATTACTCCTGCTATTCTTACAACTACTTGTATTTCATTTGTGGTCATTAAATCAGCATAATGGACTTCCTTCCTTACTTCCTTTAACAATATATCATTTAAGTCCTCTTGAACCCTGGAGTAACAACAATATTTATCACAAAAAGGATATTTTTATACAGCAATGTATCATTAAACTAAGAAACTGGATCATAATGTACGGTAAAATATTAAAACAACAATTCAACCACAAGTCAACAAATCAAATTACTTACACAATAAAATGATTGCAAAATTGATTATAACATTTTTGAAGAAACAAATCTTCAAAAGAAAATTTTCAAATGATTAAATTAAAATAATTTAGATGTTTCACGACATCTCTACCTGTAACTTGTGCTCTTGTTATAATCATTGTTTTTATTTTTATACGTATTACAAACACAATGTTTTTATTTTTACAGATGTTACAAACACACAGCTAAACCTAATTTTTTATCATAAACATAAATTTCCATTGAAAAATAGGGAGCTTCAAAAACCATGTTTTACTAACACTCTAATATGATATACATGATACATCTATTATCATATACATCAAATATGTCAAAATATTGGGGGGAAAAGCTTCAAAAGTAAAGTTGACGTAAAGTTGACAAGTACCTTTTTATGAAGGCATCACCCCTCCCTTCATTGTCCTCCATCTCCTCCCTCCTCTGACAATGGTAGAGTCCTGATCCTGCATACAGGTTTAACATGTCGAGTAATACTGCTGCTAAGACCACTTTAACCTCAACCTGTAGAACGGGGGTTTAAGGTTTGGGCTTGGTTAATGAGTGTATGAGGGGTGGAGATAAGGGAAGACAAAGGTTGAAGATGGGCGTCGGCATGGTTCCACTCACACACTGACCGACTCCGACGCTGGTAGATGGGATGGGAGATTGTGGCTTTAAGGTCCTATTACTCTGGTTGACTTTTCACAGAATTATAAGATATCTAACAAACACAAGACAGTCGAACATCGAAAATGATTAATCTTAAAAAGAAACATTTCTCCAAGAGAGTTGTCCTGAAAGATAAAGTTTTCACATTTCCGTTTGTCAATATTTTGAAAGATTTTGTGCTATTTAACTACGATTTGAAAATGTGATTATTATTCTATAAAATCTTGAGATTTTTTGTGGTAGAGCTATATAAGTTTAATGTATCAAAATCCAGTATATTCTGTTTTCAAATTTCAAAACAAACAGCTAGCTTAATTATTACATTTGTATCTAATATTCTTGGGTTAGGGTATCAACAACCTCCCCCTCTCTCTTTCTTCATTTTAAACTTGCTTAATATTGGAAGCAGATTGATTTCATTTTCATAATTATTCTCTTGTCCCTGTTGTAATTTTCTTTCCATGAATAATTCATTAAGAATGTTTCCAGCTTCCACCCATATTGGGTGACTGTGATGTCAATTAAGTAAACAAAGCAAAGATTACCCATGATAATGTTTGGCTAATAGTCTAATCATGTGATGTTTAAATGACTTACCCATAACATAAAAACATATTTTACTAATGAGCAACATTAATTACTGAGAAAATGGGAGTAGTTTTCCATGGAATACGACTATAACAACAATTGCTGGGGATATAATTTTTTTGTTTTTTTAGTTGATAATTTGCAAAAGGGAATCATTAACAGCTAGTCAAGCAAATAGTTTATCTTACAAATGTTTGGACTAAGTTTTGGTCAGATCAAAAGCTCATGATATTAAAAACTGAAGAAAATGAACAAGGATAGTATCTCCCTAATTTGAATTGATTCATGACCTTAACTTTGGATGTATTGAAATGTAATTGATCAATAATGTAAACCTCATGTTTCATAACTCAGGAATCTTTCAAAAACTGTATACAAAATTTAGACTTTTTGAAATTATGATATTCCACACATTAGGGATACATTTTAATTTGCAGTATAAATGTTTATATTCATCTCTGAGTTATGTTTGCTGTAAAATTATCATAACATAAAATCACAGTTTAATCATTACCTTTATACACTGTAAGTACATGTATATTGTTCAACCAGTAAAAAATGCTATCCTTCTAATACGAACATTGGAAGTAAAAGAATGTATACAAATATTAATAAAGATATTATGTCCGCAGTTGTTATCTTTCTAATATAGTATTAGAAGTAAATTATTTGATACAAACAGTGATAAAAATATATCTCAGAGGTTGTTGTCTTCCTAATATAAATATTGGAAGTGAATGAATTAATAAAAAAAAAGAGAAATATATTATGTCTAAGGTTGTTATCTTTCTAATATGAATATTAGAAGTAACTTAATTCATATAAACATTAATAAATATACTATGTCTTAAGTTTGTTATCCTTCTAATATAAAAATGGGAAGTAAACGAATGGATAAAAACATTAATATAGATATCATGTCAAAGGTTACGTATGATGTATATTGGCTAGCCTTTGGTATTACATGTATAGTAATCAGAAAAAAATTACTTAAGATAATACGACAGTAATGGACTTTACATTTCAGCACTTTGAAAGATCAGTATACCTTTCGTTCTGGGGTCAATGCGAGCACGAGTATTTCTCGAAGCGGCTCTCTGATAAAGCGCTATCTCTCCTTCGCTGAGATCTTTGCCCGACGCGAGCATCCAAAGATCAGCCTGGCCAGGGTGTCGTGCAAATTTGTGTAACAGCTTACCAACGCTCCATTTAAGTTGCCATAGTAACCGTTACTGGAAAAGCTACTGCACATGCTAACCCAGAAATAGAAACAATCTTTAGTCTCTCTTAAAGTGCTGGGAGTTAAAAGTATTTCATCATAACATACTTTGGTTCCTTTTTCTTTACATTGAACTACATGTATGAGAACCTTACAGTTATATGTGCATGTATACAAATTTGTAGACATGCTGCTGCGAATTGATTTAAAAAAACAATTTGTACTCCTTAATCATTATAGAACACTCATTTTTACATGAACTCACAAATAAATTTTAAACTTAGTTATAAACATATCTAAACTAACAAACCTTCTGCAAAGTATATGTGACTGAGATAAGGCATTTCTTTGTTTTTATTCAAAATCTGAAAAACAACTATTGTGGCACTTATATAGTAATTGCACAATTTCTTAAAGGATATTCAATTGTTCATGATCTTTACAATTGAAAATAGATCATTATAAAAATATGACTTGATTCAAGACTAAATATGACTCGATAATACCAGTTACTGCAGCCCTTGTTCCTGATTTAGCAAAACAAATAGTTGAGGAAGGACTTTGTTTCAGATTATCACTTTTTAGGGAGTAGCTAAAACTGTTCTCTAATTAAACAATATAATCAAATACCAATGATCAGGGTCAAAATTTATATAAACAATATTCTTATCTGTTTTGTTACGCATATACAGCTCTTTAATACATCGGCATAAAAATAATATATGCATTGTAATTATTGCAATATCATTGTCTTCATGGGCATGTAATTCATATATAACTGTTGGAACGATTGACATTTACTTAATAATTCATTGTCATCATATATGTGTCATTAGGTACAACTTTTATTCACATGCATGTACCTTTTTCCCCATTGAATGTTATAAGAACAATATGAGAAATACATGTACGGTATACTGATGATAACGATATTGATGATGGTGGTGATAATGATGATGATAATAGTGATTATGGTGATGGTGATGATGGTGGTGGTGTTGTTGATGACGATGATGGTGGTGGTGTTGATGGTGATGGTGCTGGTAGTGTCGATGGTGGTGGTGGGGGTGGTGGTTGTTGTTGTTGTTGTATTGATGTTAGTGATGATGATGACAATCATGATGATTATGGTTATGATGATAAGGATTATGGCAATTATAATTGTGATTATCATGAAATTTAATCATGTTTAATCATGATGTCCAATGATCGGAGCAGCTTACTGGGAATGACAATAATGAGCAGTCACAGTAGGGTAAAACGATTAGATATAAATGAATAGAATAAGAAAATCAAGAGAGAGAGAGAGAGAGAGACTTCTTTTACATAAACCAAGAATTTAAAATAATCACCAACTTCAAGCTGGTGAAGATAATGACAAAAATACATGTGCTGTACACTGTAGGTATAGCAGTGCAAGAGAGAGAGATAGAGAGAGGGAGAGAGATAGAGAGAGGGAGAGAGACAGACAGAGATAGAAAGAAAAATACAGTTATCCTGTCTCAAATGATGCAACTATGCTACAGTACAAGCAGCATAATTCAATCACATAACTATTAATATAAATAGGCACATCTCACAGTCACTAAGTCACTACCTACTCCACTGGGAGGTATTTGCCGAGGACCAACAGCAGATAAGACGATGTTTAGAGTGTGTGTTTACAAGAAGAGATACGACCCAACACTTAATAGTTTCAGCCCCAGAGAAAGAGATTGGATGCATGCTGCTAACAATGCAGGCAATTCAATTAGACAAGAGATTTAGATTGGTAGCAGCTACCCATTGTAACCTTTCAGTAAAGCAGAAAAACTTACATCATATATCATGTGTGGATCCCATATGGCATTAAGTCTGTGCTTAAGTATTAGAATTAATGCCCTTCTGGCTACAAACGGACAATATCATCATCTGTGGGGCAGAAGTCTTTGTCAAATTTCTGAATTTCGTCGGCCGGCTGGCAAAAGGGCGTTAGCGCGCAAGCGACTCGAAAATTACTTTTCGAAATTATTCGCTTTTAAAGATTTGTTTTATATTAAAACTGCTTTCCGTCCCGAAAATTGGTTTAAA